TGAAGCAAGCCTGGTCAAAAATCTACTGAGCCATGAATCCGAGTAGGAGCATGACAGCAACCAAGAACTGAATCTCCACTTGTGCTCCCAAAATATCTGAGAATAGCAAGAATGACTGCAAATGCCCATGTCCTGCTCTTTCAGCAAAACTTAGAGACAATAAAACCCATACACACCAAAAGCAGGCTGTGAACCGGCTGAGAGACAACTTAAGTGTCCACTGACCAATGAATGTATAAAGAAAATGTGGTGTACACACACACACACACACACACACACACACATATACACACTCAGAGGAATATTATTCAGCCTTAAAAAAGAATGAAATTTTGCCACTTGCAGCAACTTGGATGAACATTGAGGGCATTGTGCTGAAGTAAGTCAGAGAAAAGAGAAATATCATATTGATCTCATTTATGTGTGAAATCGTAAAAAAACCAATAAGCTCACAGATACAGAGAACAGTCTGGTGGTTGCCAGAGGTGAGGGGAAGAGATGAAATGGGTGAAGGAGTCAAAAGATACAAACTTCCAGTTGCAAAATAATTAAGTCCTGGGATGTAATGCATACAGTGACCATAGTTAATAATAATGTAGCACATATATGAAAGTTGCTAAGAGAGTAAATCCTCAAAGTTCTTATCTCAACAGCAACCAGAAAATTCTGTAACTATGTATAGTGACAAATGTTAACCAGACTTACTTTCAATATATTCAAATACAGAATCATTATTTCATCAACATTATGAAACTAATACAATGTTGTTTGTCAATTTCTTAAAATCTTTAAAAAAAGTAGCCCTTGCTGGTCTGGCTCAGGCACTGGCTGGTTTGGCTCAGCAGTTAGAGCGTCACCCTCAGACCAAAGGATCTCAGGATTGATTCCGTCAAGGGCATATACCTGGGCTGCAGGTTCGATCCCCGGCCTTGGTCAGGGTCGTGCGGGAGGCAACCAACGGATGTGTCTCTCTCACATCGGATGTTTCTGTCCCCCCCCCTCCTATCTAAAAATCAATGAAAAAATATCCTCAGGTGAGGATTAACAACAACAACAACAAAAGTAAAAAGAAATGAAGTCTGTCTCCCCACCCATTAAGTCTGGGCTGGTCTTGTGTTAGAAGTGAGGCTGCCTGAGTTCCGGGGTTCCTCGGGGGCCTTGCAGCCTCTGCCTCTGCCCTGTTGGCAGTCTTCACGAGCTGCCCCGAGACTGCCATGCTAAGGAGAAGCTGACCTCCTGCACTGGAGGATCAGGGCCCTGAGGAGGAGAAGGGAGGTGCCCCAGCCAGCAGCCCGCACCAACTGTCAGACACAAGAGTGAAACCATCTTGGCCTTTTAAGCCCAGCCAACTCTCCAGCTGACCACACATGCTGAGTCCAGGCTACACCAGCAGAGATCTGCCCAGAAAACCCACAGAATCATGAAAACATAGCTCACTGTTTAGGCAATTAAATTTTAGAGTGGTTTGTTATCCAGCAATAAATAACTTGTACCACTGGGTATTAGGAAATGAAAATGTATTAACCAGAAAAGGTAAACATCATTAACTGAAAAAAATCTGGTTACAAAGTCTATGTACAGAACAACCTGTACATACATTCTGAGAAGACATTAATGCATACACACACACACAGGGACAGGTCTAGACGAACATATACTAAATAACGCAGGGAAATATAACAAGGTAAACTCTGGTGGTGAACATAGATTTTTCTTATTTTGGCTTTTCTACATCTTCTATATGCACTTAGATGCTTTTATAGAAAAAAAATATTTTTTTTACAAAGGTCTATAGAGTTTACTCATTCATCAGACAAAAAGGTCAGCTGGGTCCTGGAAGAGCTCAATGTATTACAGATGTCCTCCCCTTCCCCCTCCACCTGGTTTCTGCCCCACCCCAGGCCTTCACAGCACTATTGTCTATGACCATGGGCAATGCATTTACGCATATAAGTTCTTTGATTAATCTCTTCCCACCTCCACCCACCCTCTTCTCTCTGAGATCCGTCAGTCTGTTCCATGTTTCCATGCCTCTGGACCTATTTTATTTGTCGATTTATTTTGTTCATTAGATTCCACATATAAGTGAGATCATGTGATACTTGTCTTTCTCTGACTGGCTTATTTCACTTAGCATAATACACTCCAGGTCCCCATGCTGTCTCAAAGGGTAAGAGATCCTTCTTTTTTGCAGCTGCATAGTATTCCATCATGTAAATGTACCACAGCTTTTTTTACCCACTCGTCTACTGATGTGCACTTGGGCTGTTCCCAGATCTTAGCTATTGTAAATAATGCTGCTATGAACATAGGAGTGCAAATATTTTTTCTGATTGGTATTAACCTCTAATAGTGCACACAAACTGAATAAGGTCAGTTAATCAATAAACCTTTAGAAACAGTTATAGGCTGAACTGTGTCCCTCTCTCCCCCAAATTCATATATTGAAGCCCTAACCCCCAGTACTTCAGAATGTGACTGTATTTAGAGACAAGACCTTTAAAGAGGTAATTAAGTTATTAAAATGAGGCCCTTAGGATAGGTCCTAATCCAATCTGACTGTTGTCTTTCTAAGAAGAGGAACTCTGAACACAAAAGCAACGCTGTGTGAAAGGCAGCAAGAGGGTGTGGCCTGCGGGGCAAGGAGAAAACCTGGAACAGATCTTTCCCTTGTGATCCTCAGAAGAAACCAACCCTGCCTGTGCCTCGCTCTTGGACTTCCTGCCACCAGACTGCGGGAAAATAAATTTCTGTTGTTTAGCCAGCCATCTGTGATATTTTGTGATGACAGCCCTAGCAGTCTAAATAATGTACTTGGAAGAGCGACCTGGTGTGTCTTCTAAGCACGGCAAATAGAAACTGAACCACAAAAATAGTGTATAATAAAGTCCTACTCTAAATTTCTGAAGATTTTTGTCTTTAAAGTCAAATAACAACTATAAACATGCACAAAGACAAATTATATTAAACTTTATTAACCAATGTCACTCCAATAAATTCAGTAAGAAATGAAATTCTATAAAAGCGCCAGTGGAGCGGGGCGAGGCACGCTTTCCGGGTGCACTGCCCTCCGATGACGGCACAACTCTGCTGGTCCACACCCCGCTCTCGAGCAGGCACAAGAGATCGGTCTCCGTGTTTTGTTTCGTATTTTTTTATTTATGGGCCAGCGACAAAGAACAAAACTAATGGAGAACCAACAACTAAAGAGCAACATTATCCAGGACTATTGTTTTTTAATCAAATACAAAATACTTCACTCGTCTACTTTTAAATTAAAAACATTATTTACAAAAACTAGACTATTTTCAATAAACAGAAAAAGAACGAGTGTGATTACAGCGAGAACAGAAAAGAGAGGGAGAGAAGCCCTGGTGGGGTGGCGGAGTCCTGCAGTTCGGGTTCTCACTGCTTCTGCTCCTACTAGCTGCATGAGCTCAGGCTTGTGCTTGAACTTTTCTGAGCTGGGTTATTGTAAAGGGAGAAGCCTGCACAAGAGAATCATTTCTCAACCAGCCACCAGGACTCCCAGGCTTCCTTGGACATTTGGGTGGGTGAGGCACAGAAATAATCTCGCACGGCTTGGTGCCCTTGAGCTCAGAGTCTAGCAGAGCTACTCAGTCCTATCTGTTTTCCATTTGCATGTTTGTGTCTTCACTTGAGGGAAGAATTCTGCTACTAAAAATATTTGAAGCCATTGTATTAAAATGTTCTGTCCCCTACAGTCTAGAAATTCTAAAGGAATTTATACTTAAAACTCAGTAACTAACACAGCTGAGCAGGTCCACACAGGATGCAGAATGAAGGGCCACAAGGTATTTACTTGTTGGAACAGGCAGAGAGAGCATTAGTGGGGACTTGGACAGCACAGGAGAGACTGTAGCCTGCAGGCATAAAAGATTTAGGATTGCTAGTCCAAGGCAAGCATTGCAAAATGTACCCGAAGTGTAACTTCATGACTTAGAAAGCGGATGCAACTTTAGGCATCATTAATAAAAGTATAATTTCCAAAATGGGAGCATTCAATAAAATTGCCAAATACATCTTTAAAAACCTGCTTGTACTACCAATAATCAAAGACAGGCAACACTGTTTGGCAAACTGTGAGATGAGTCAGACCTGAGTACTAATCTTCATTCTCAAGCTTACACACATATGTAACATCAAAAAACGCAGCTTCCAGAACCTTTGAAGCGGTAACGAGGGGATTCCGCAGTGCTGCTGCGAGGGTAGGTGGTACTGTGGGTGGCATCGAGCGTAGCGCTGGCACTCGGGACCACTGATGCTTGCAGAGCACTGTGTGAATTCTGTCTCCTCTAATCGTCAGAATAGTTTGAAAACTGGCCATTGTAACACACAGACTCAAATTATCCCAGGAATGGGACTAAAACCTTTAAGGACAAAATAGTCAGTGATGGCAGCAGGCGATACTAGGAGCACTGCCATTTACTTCTAGCAGGAACAGAAAAGGGTCAACTTCTCTGCAAAGCAATCCAGCAATACTTGCAGAGGACACTTCCAAAAGGGTTCACAGAAAGCCTGTGGGTAGAATGGGGGAGACTGGGCATCTCCATGATATGCAGGCCTTTTCTTTCTTTTCTCTTTTTCCCAACTACTGATTCCCATGGATATCCCTTTGTCAGCCCACACCAGTCCTTCCTGAGCACTCCTGGGGCACGGCGTGGGGCCCACTTCTACCCAGCTCCCGCCATCTGAATGGAAGCACGCTGCCCAGGGAAGCAGATGGCTCCAGTGTTTCTTAACATGAATAAAGGAGTGTGAAATAGAAGTAGAAATCCCTCAGGCTAGGAGGTCCCAAATCCAGAGCAATCCGTGATGGTCACAGAAATGCCATCACAAAGAGAAAAATGAAAGTTAAAATATTCATTTCCTCTAAGTTCCAAATTTGTTTCCCTGTGACTGCTTTACAGCTTGAGACCCACCTCCTCTCTACCCCCAAAAATGTCTCTGTTAAAAGTCTGACGACAACAGACACTTACCTAAGATGAGATGAAGCTTGGTTTCCGTCTGGAAGGCATAGTGCAACGTCACCAGAAACGGCGACTGCCGGATGTGCTCCAGGACCTGCCGCTCCGTCCGCGTGTGCTCTGTGGTTTTGGCCTTCTGCACGATCGTTGCCTTTTTCAAAACCTTCATGGCATACAGCTTTCCAGCGTCGTGCCCACTGACTTTACGGACGAGAAATACTTTTCCATATGCTGGAAGTGAAAACAAAACATTAAGATGCTATACAGGCATAATGGTGATTTAGTGAAGTTGAAATTTACAATGCACACAAGAAAACACTCTCTGAATAAAAAAGTATCCTTAGCACTATTTCAAATAGTTGTTTGACAGGTTTCTTCGATTTTTTGTCAAACATGTTCCTAAGTCTAACCCTCAGTATTTCCATATCTAACCGCTGCTGACCAAGTTATGCTTTCACTCTTACTGTTATTCTCTCCTCAATATTTTTAACTCTAGGAAACTGGCTAGGATTATGGTCAATTAACCACGATCCAATTCTGGAACATCTAGGACATTTCAGACATCAGATAAAACCTCTACGTTTTGCTATGGATGTAAACGAATAAAAACAGTTGGGTTTTTTTTTTAATCCTCACCTGAGGTTATTTTTCTATTTATCTTCAGATAGAGTGGAAGGGAGAGAGAGAGAGAAACATTAGTGTGAGAGGGACACATCGACTGGTTGCCTCCCGCATGACCCTGACCAGGGACAGGATGAACCACAACCGAGGTACTGTCCTTGACCAGAATCGAACCTGTGACTCATTGGCCCCTGGGCCAACTCTACTGCTGAGCCAAATCAGCCAGGGCATAAAAACAGTTCTTAATGAGATTTCATACACATGTATAAATCAAGTGCCTCAAGTACCCCTTTATACTTACTGTAAAAATCTCAATATAAACTGACATTATATAAACAAAGAGATCTTCAGATTAAAAAACAACAACATTAAAGATCTTAAATTGCGATCAGTACTGACAGCTGGCCATGAAAGTCGAAGCATGGAGTGGCGAGGGACGACTGTATACAAATGAATCCTACTTCGCAGAAATTCATTCATCGCAGTGGAGTCTGGAGCTGATTAACCACCATAAGCGAGGGCCGACTGCACATCTCTGGGCAGTAATTCACAGCTTACTAGGTCAACCTCACCACACTCAGGTGGGCAAATCCCGTAGGCGCCACCCCCTAGGTGAGGAATGGGGGCCAGAAGGGCACTGTGCCTCTTGGGCAGAGCAGGTACCTACATTTGTTCAGAAGAGGGGAGAGGACAAGGAAAGGTGGGAGAAGGAGGGAGGAGGAAGGGCAGGCAGAAACACCCCGTGAGGGAAGGGGTAGGTCCCCAATCCATCCCTACAAGGTATAATAAGTTCTCTTCCTTTTTAAAAATGCAAACACCTCCTGGGACAGTTAAGCCCAGTCCTGCTTTTGAAGTTAAACCCTTTAACCAGACCATCTGGAGTCAGAGTTCTGACCCAGTCCAGTCTTCCGTGCTCTGTCCACACCGCTCCAGGACAGAGCACATAATTCTGTTCTAACGCACCCACCAGAATAAGAGAGCCTGAAAGGGAGTGCTCTTGTACCCCGTATGTTATTCAGTTCGGTGCTTCAGGAAGTAAATTAGTACAGACACACGACAGAAGGGCTCAGTGAATGGCTGTGATACTCCTACAAGGAGGAAAACCAATACTTACTAAGGCTTGTTTATCAGGCTCTGTGCTAAATACATTTCACATATTGATTCACTTAATCCTCAGAACAGCCAGTGTTGTACTTTTAGTAATTCCACTTTACAGATGAGGAAATGGGCTCAGAATTCTGAAGGAACTGGCCCAAAGACTCAGATAAGAAGCAGCAGAACCGACTCAAACACAAGTAGTGTGACGCCAGAGACCACGGTCACCATAAATGGTACAAGAATGATCGTTCACAAATACAGAAATCAGATACTCTGGACTGTAATAAAATCATAAACACATTCTGGAATACAGAAAAAGTTCACAAAATGTTTGTGTCTCATCTCATTGTAAATAAATAATTACAGATTGAGATTTTAGTAAGGCAGAAATAAGCCAGAAAAGAAAACACAACACTAACCAATTAACCTAAAGTATAAAAATGAAAACAGTTCATCTATTCAGAAACACTGAAAAGAAGGGGGAAAAAACATTTTAATGAAGGGTTTCTCTTCCACAGAGTAGCTACTCACTAACTGAGGGGAAGGTCAAGTCCTCAGCAATATGGGGCATTTGTGTCCCCACACATGCATGGCACCTAGCCTAAATCCCCATCTCCAGAGTGCAATGGTCCTCAGAGGAGAGTCTGTTGTCACCTATCGTCCCCAGTGAAGAACATCCTTCCACACCACCAGAGGAAGATGCTGTGCCGCTTCTTCCTGGCATTCATGTTCACCTTCCAGCTCAGGTGTTGACCATGTGGCCACAAGGTGTTAGCACCTGACACCTGGTACTAGTCAGGCACTTTAGAGCTATGTTAACTCACTTCATTCCTGTGGCCCCCATTTGACAGCTAGGGAAACGGAGTGAAGAGTAGGGTCACTTACCCAAGGTCACGCTTGTCCATTCAGCCCGACTCCTCAGCCTGCACCTTAGATGCGCCGCAGCTGCCTCCCGTAAGTGAATGGGCTCACAGGCTAACCAGTAAGGAGCCACACATTAAACAGAAGTCACAACACAGGCCGGGTGTTATCATGGCGCAATGGACACGGTGCACTACTTCCAAGAGGAGAAAGTTTTGTCATGTAGCCCATTTTATTGATGGGGGGATCCAAATATCAGAAAATGTTCCTTATATCGAGTAGAAACAGGCCTTTTTATAATATTCACCTGTTGGTCCTTCTATATCCTCTGGATTTACAAAACAGAATTTTTACCGTTCTATAAGATAATTTTTAAACATTTAAAAACATAATTAGGCCATCTCATCTACACAAATTGTCCTCATTCCTTAAGCCAACCTTAAAGTCAACGACTGGGACTTCCCACCATTAGCTGGTTCCACTGATGTGCTCTGTGAATTTGTCAATATTTTTCTTTGATTTCTTTCCTGTTACTTTAAAAAATGTCATATTTAAGTCCAAATAAATGAGGTAGCATAGATCGCTAAAGTATGTGGTCAACTAATAAATCACCTGCCCTGCCGCATTCTATGCTGAAGCACCTATAAGGCCGTTTGTCACATTGCAAAGGGGAAGAATCCCATTCTCTACTGGACAGACCGTGAAGGAACCCCCTCCCGGGCCTGGTTAAGCTGGTGTGCAACGTAGTCCGGGGGAGAAAGTAAAGTAGCTTTTCTGTTGAATGGTGCCATTCACTCCACAGACCCCTACACGTTTTCCAATATTTTAAGAGAGGCCATTGAAACTGGAATTGGTAGCGATGTTAGCTCCTTTGAGTTGCCACTAGATGAATGACTGCCTTCTAGGGCTGCCAACTCCTGGCTTTCCTTAGATTTGGTAAAAATTCATTAGTTTTGCGTGTGCTGATGTTGTTGAAGAATTCCTGTTGTGAAAGTGTCTTTTGGGAACTGCAAAGGCTACTAGTGATGAAAACTCTTTTGGTTAAAAAAGATAAATACTAGTGCTCCCTGCTCAGACGGAGCCCCTGAAATGGAGTTAGGCAACACCTCTGGAGCTGCTGCTTAGGTACAGAAACCAGGCTTCAGGCTTCACAGGACTCTCATGTCTGGATCAGCATGCAGTGCTTCCAACACGCCATCCACAATCTTCACAGAGGCCTTGTGTATCAGTTTCATCAGAGCCAGGACCTGTACAAGACACTGTCAAGAAATGTGGGCAGAGAGGGCATGGGGTTCACTGGTTGTCCAAAGGACCCGCCTTGCAGCACTTGACTGAACTCGAAGTAGAAGTTCCACTTACTTTGAGGTTGAGGGGAAGTAAATTCCAAGGATAAAAGACAAGAAGGATTCATTCCTGACTTAGCTTGACAGATATCTGTGACCACATGAATGAGGTGAATCTTTCAAGTCTAGGCCCTACAGACACCGTTTTGGATTCTGCTAAAACCTGTGCTCTCATAGCCAAGCAGCCATTCAGAAGAGAGAACTGGATCGAGACAACTATGTAAACCAGCGGTTCTCAACCTGTGGGTCATGACCCCTTTGGGGGTCGAATGACCCTTTCACAGGGCTCACCTAAGACCATCGGAAAACACATATTTCCAATGGTCTTAGGAACTGAGACACCGCTCCTCTATGGGTCTCCAGGCGGGTCCGCCCACATGCAGATACACCCACATACGACATGAGGAACTGTGTTAAAGGGTCATGGCATTAGGAAGGTTGAGAACCACTGAAACTCTTCCAAAGCCGCAGGAAGGTTACCAGAGGATGGAGAACTATAGCTACCTTATAAGTTACTTCTGTTCAAACTGACTTATAATTCTACTCCACGTGACCCAGCACGACGTTGCAAACCTGCTGACAATGATCTCAATAGCTGGATGACAAAGGGAATAATGTAAACTGAACCAAACATTGTCAGGGGAAGTCTAGTTCCTCAGAGCAGGTGTCAGTCGCTATTCCAAATGCGGACTCTTACTCCATTTGCCACAATAATCACTATGAATCAGGTTTTTGGCACTTGCTGTCATAAAGAAAAGTTAAAACAGACTGACAGTTTTAAAACAAGATGACATTCACGTTGCCTGCTGTGTCAAATGCCACGGCACAATTTCAAGCTACTTTTCCAAGCTAAACAAAAGCAGCCTTCTTGCCGAAATTTATTTATTTATTTTTTTGTTTGTTTGTTTTTTTATTTTTTTTATCCTCACCGGAGGACATTTTTCCATTTTTTGTTCAGATAGAGTGGGAGGGAAAGGGGGGGGGGGAAGAGAGAGAGAGAGAGAGAAACATCAACGTGAAAGGGACACATCCAGTGGCTGCCACCCGCACAACCCAACCAGGGCCGGGGACAAACTGCAACCGAGGTACGTGCCCTTAGCGGGAACCGAACCCGGGTATTTCCAGACCGCAGGCCAACGCTCTAACCGCTGAGCCAAACCAGCCAGGGCTGAAATTTATTTTGAGCATAATTAAACTAATCTCATTTTATCAAATTTGAAATCATTAACCAATTTTAGGAAGTAGCCTTTAATCTCTGCATTAAAATGATAATGAGATTAATTTGTTAAAAATATTTGTATGGCCCTG